ATAGAAAGGACGATGTCAGGGTCCTTAGGGCACCTTTTGGTTTGGACAAAAACGACACGTCTGCTCTCGGATGAACGCCATGGAGACTGCCTCATGCTCTGCACCTACAACGCCAGGACAATCTCCACAAACGCCGATCTCCAGCTCTTCTCGACGCTGCGGAGCACATCAAGTACCACATCATCGCTCTGCAGGAAACGAAGTCCAGGAAGAAGGACGTGCGACAGATGAGTGATGGGAGGCCATCAGCCCACATTCGTAGTGAGAAGGTTCCATCACGAAACGTGGGGGCGTTGGCTTCTTCTTCCATCCATCTATTGTCCATCTTATCGATACACATGAGATACTATCAACTCGACTAGCCATTTTATTACGATCTCCACGTCAGAAGACCATCAGCATCATCAACTGCTACTCGCCAACATCAGCAGCTGATGAATCAAAACTAGATGCGCCTTACGAAGATGTGGAGGATGTCGTCCGTAACAAGAAGTCCTTTTACAAGTTTGTTTTGGGCGACTTCAATGCGAAAATCGGAATACCACTGGAAAAGGAATATAGGATCGGAAAATTTGGATATGGGCCGAAACGAAAACGGCAACCGTCTCGTTTGGCTTCTCTCCGTCGCACGATTTTTTCGTGGGAACTCTATCTTCATGAAGAAAGAATTTTGCCGGTGGACATGGGAATCGCCCAACGGAACGATTCACGCGGAAATCGACCACATGCTCACCAACCGAAGGTAAAGCTTGCTCGATGTCTCAAAAGTACCATCATTCTGCAGTGGCTATCACCAGCTATTTCGAGCGAAGGTATGATCCAGTCGAAAGCTGGAAAAAAGGTCTGTCACAGCACCGCAATAAGGAAGTCGTATTTCGAAGCCACCAAGGAACTACTCGAAAGAAAAAAATCACTGAGGCAAGATCTGAATGCAACCATCTTCGAGCGACTGATAGCCAACGCCAGTTGCAACTGAGTTTTGCAGGAGGATCTCAGAAAGTACAGGCAAGCCAAGATACTGGAAGCAGCCGAAGGAAGTGTAGTCCTAAGAAGTGCCCAAGGGACCTCTGTGAATATCACGTGCCGCTGGCTGCGTTATTGAACGAAAACGGGACTTACCGATATATGATGGATTCATCGAGAAGAACTCCTACACCAATCTTACCCGCTCATCAACACCCGTGCCGTTGCCTTTTGTTCCCACTTGAAGAAGTACACCACGAATCCTACCTACTGAATTGCGCACAGCCTGCGCACAGCACAATCCTACCTACTGTAGTGCGCACAGCACCATAAAGACTTCCACGACTCCAAGAGCAGACCATCTTTCCTTCGAGTTTCCGCGAGCCGAAGGACAACGTCTACACGAGATTCTTGCGTGGCACCTGACATCTTACCTTCAGAAGGAAAGGATTCCCGACTATGGGAACATCAAGAATTGTCCTTCTTTCCAAGAAAGGTGAACGGGAGGATCTTCGGACTACCTTCAATACGCCTGCTGAGTAAGCTGTAAAAGCTTTTCACAAAGAATACACTAGCTCGCATATCTAGGACACTGGATTAAAGCCAAACCCCCGAGAACAAGCTGGATTTCGCGAAGAACTCAGCTGAACCACATCCAGACGATTCGAAAGTCATACAAGTCGGCCGGGAGTACCGACTGCCTCTCGTCCTGACCTTCGTCGACCAAGAGAAAGCCTTTATAGCGTCGAAACCAACGCCATCCTGTCAGACCTAGTCGGTCAAGGAGTGAACCCAGCTTACGTGAAGATGTCAGGACTGCTGCAAGGACTGTACAACGACGATGCAGCTGTTCCATCGCCCCCTGACCATCACAATCGGAAAGGGGGTCCGACAAGGCGACACAATCTTGTCGAAGCTGTTCACCGCGGCCTTGTAGTGGGTGACGAAGTCACTGAACTGGAACGAGACGCTACGAGTTAATGGGAGATTTCCAACCTTCTTTTGCGGACAACGTCGTTTTCTATTCGAGCAGTATCACTGAAGCAGAGACGATGATGAAGGAACTAAACGAAGTAGGGAAGAAGGTAGGACTGCGAATAAATTGAAAGAAGACTCAATCCATGAAAAACGCACTTTGCGAAAATGCAGGGATGTGATTGGAAGGCACCCTATTATGGAGACATCTTCTTACGTGTATCTCGGAGTTCGATGAACATTGAGAACGACTCGAGGGAAGAACTTAACAGGAGAAAATGAGCAGCCTGAGCCGCCTTCGGGCCTCTGAAGAAAGCCAACGACCAAGTGACCGACTCGGAGCTTCGTGCCCACCTGTTCAACTTAACTGTTATCCCGGCGCTCTGTTACGCAGCTGAGACTTGAGTTGACACCGCAGCTATGTCCAAAGCTCTAAGGGCCACCCACAGAGCGCTAGGGCGAAGTACTCTGAAGATGACCTGACACAAACAACATGTTGTCGAATTTCGAAGTACGGCTATGAGAAGGATGTCCCGTTTCTGTGACCAGCGGAAAACAGAAGCGTTGACGCTGGTCTCATTATGAGAAGAGCAGACGACAGATAGACATTAAGAAGATCGGAGTGGATTCCTCGCGAAGCGAAACGCCCTCGACGAAGACCTCTAACGAGATGGGCATACGTGTTCGTGGAACGGATGGACCAGCTAAGAAATAAGCTAACGATTTTCGCCCTCGGATCTTGAACGCAGCCCGCGACAACCAAGAAGATCATAATGTCTGAAGCGAGGGACAGGGATAAATGGAAACGTCTATGCTGGACCTTGCACGCCACCTGAAGCTGAGTCATCTAAGTATCTAAGTAAGTAAGCCCGTCTCCCTCAGGATCAGGCCGAAACGCTGACATAAACTCTGGCGCTCGCAGCGCAAGGGGGTTTGCGATGCATGCGCACTGTTCGAGAGAGCGAGGACACTGAAGAGAGACAGACAAGCAAGCTGTAGTGGCGCAAATCGTAGCGATGCTGATGCGCATCACTACAATTTTGGATTGACTTGGATTGAGCAGACTGTCTAAAACTCAAGCGATATCCATGATTCACAATCTTTGGGTCCGGATACGGATTAGCGCCTAGTCTGAGGTTCTTCTTCAACTGTGCAGAGCCCAGCATTTAGTACATCTTGTCTCATTCCGGGTCAGGCCAAAATTGGAGAGATGCGCATCGCTTCTCCTCAGTATTGCGTCCGTGGCCTGATTGTCTGCTCTCCCTTCAACCTTTCGCTCTCTCCGACAACGCGCATATGGTTTCCTAGCCAGGGCCCGGCACGCGTTGGTTTGGAGGTTTTTAGGAAACGAAGTCCCCCATGACTTCGCGAAAATTTACGAAGTCCCTCTCGACGTGAAAATCAGTAGGGCAACCCTTATTCAACCAAAATAGCAACAAAAAAGCGAAAAAGCGCATTTTGAGGTATGTGATATAACAAAAAAGCGAAAAGAAAACATTTCGAGTCGATTAAAGGCTCTGCCATTGGGTATAGTACCATTTTGATGCTGGGAATGTCGAAAATCTCCTAGGCCAACCAAATCTGTAGCCTCAACAATCCTGCGATGCATTTCTCGCCACATATTTCAAAGGACACCGCAAGTGATTGGAGCGCGATATCTATCAAAGCGTAAAATCATACTACTTATGACTCAAAAGGGAAAGGCGACGGTTTGATCCGCACTCTTCACTATATGATAGATTTTTGACCGTTCTAATCGTCCAAGTCAAAAAGGTCCAAAAATTATGTGAACTCTCCGATATTTATGCTCCGAACCAATCCAGTTGGTTTGGTAGTTGGTCTAGAAACCAACAAATTCGAGAACGGATATTAGGACACATAAGTTTTGGGAACTTTTTACATAACATAGTTTGGAGTAATACGTACACACACAGCCCAAATTCGAAGCCATGTGATTGTTTGCGCTGTAAACAAGGCATTTGTTTGTTTGAGGCTTGCATTTGAAATTCGCGCGCTTGCGAAAAAACACGTGCAACTCGTGAAACCTGACATGTTCGTCGTGTTTTTTTTTTTGCGCTTCCTCCAGGACCTCATGAAAACGATGTCCCCATTGCTTCTAACTCCAAAAACGAAGTCCAGTTTGACCCCAAACCATCGGTGCCGGGCCCTGTTCCTAGCCTGCTGCGCAACTTTCCATCAACGCTGCGCCTGATCCCGACTGGAACAGACTACGATGCTCAATAGCGTAATCTTTTATGGTTTTCGATTTCTGCCGAAAAATGGAGTTTTGCAGTATCGCTACGTGCTCTGGCAGTTGGCCAAGCACGCGTTAGGGGACGGAGTTTGAGCCAAGATTCATGCTTGGCCTTTGGATGACCACTCCGGTCTTTCGTCAACTGATGGAGCGGTCGGTCTTACTGCTCCTTATGTATTCTTAGAAGACAAGAAGATGGCATGGCTACTGTTTTTGTGAAGATGGTCACCAGCAAACAGAGGTAGTCTGAATTGTGGTTTTACAATCTCATTCTCTGAGATTGTTTATGTAGTACATCTAGTTTCGACATAGTTGATTACCAAGTAAGTGCTATGCAGTGCATATAGGCATAATCATAATAGTTGCAGATAGATAATAACAGCATTAGGGAAGCCGTTTCTTCGTTGCGAAATGCAAAACAGAGGTTTTGCCGTAGAATATCGGAGGCAAAAGTTGGGGACATGGCACTCATCGCTTTTGCGCTTTCTCTTCTTGTCTTCCTCGACTAGCGCATCATATTCTTCTAGACACAGTCACTTTCTTACAACCTTCTCCCTTCTCCAGATCTACCCTGGCCTCATGCTCTTCTTCTCCAGTGCCCCTTTCCTATAAAACAGGCAAGACACGAGTCCACCGAGTTTTACATTTGACATAGTTCCCATCGAGCTCTGCATAGCAAAGACTTTGTTGTGGCAATGTTGAGGTATCCCGTCGCAGCGAAGAATTTTTTTCGAAATCTGTCTGTCTCTCATTTTGCTCGCAGTGTAACCGTGTGATGTGCAAACTCGTTCAATAAGATAAATCTATTCAATAATTAGGTTTCTGAACATCAACATATACGTAATACACACACAATGCAAGTTAAAAACGGGCAGGCACCCCCTATCGTTTTCTGTCTGTGAAAAGTCATACCGGCACCATTCCTTTCACCACAACTTGGTCTTCTCAAAAAGAAAACAATGAGATGAGAGCGAGCAAGGTGCGTTCACAGTAGGACGAGCCGCTTTGAACATATGGAAGCAAATCGAACGAGAGAGACTAAGACATATCATACAGAATAAAACAACTTTGTGAAGTACTATAGAAAATAATGAAGCGCTGGAGATATCACGCATAAAGTAAAAAGATGGAACTTCAGAACTGCACAAATGGTAATTTATGATGATTAGCAGATGTGATGAAAATTAGTACCACAGCGTTAGTAGTGAAGACAGGGTAGTAAAATTGGATGAAACAATAAATTTGCGAAAGAACCAACACTTGACATATCCGCGGTAAATGTTCAGAACAAGTAACACGAAAATATTACAAAGGTACACGAGACCACTGACGACTATGGACAAGAGAACACAACGACTGAGAACGACAATTCTTGGGTGGTGCTGATGTGATAGCAATGCTTAAAAGGCGAGGACGTGACCGGAGAAATGCAAACAGTGACGCCATTGCCAAATGATGCGACTCTAAGCAATATATTGCCTATATTCGCGCAATATGAGGTAGACAAGGAGGAAACTTTGCACAGTCTCCTGCTACGTTCATGAACAAAGACGATTATGTACAAATGAACGCAAAGGAAATCAATTAAGGGAAACACACGGATCTGCAAAGCTAGAACAAGGCGATTTCGTAACGAACATCTAGAAAAAGTACGTCCTATCCTATGAACCTAAGTAGTAAGCGCCGACCAGCGGTGTCTGCTTCAGGACAGAGAACGTATAGAATACATCTGCCTACATAAAATACAAGGATAAGGAAAGTGAGTAGAATAAAATTAGTAGAGAAAACCTTCACAAAAAATGACTGAGGCGCAGCGCACCGGATACACTATTTAGCAGCTACACGTAAAAAGTTCAGCTATTGCTAGTTCATCCATTTCACACAATTGGGGGCTCCGCACAAGCATGGAATTTTATCTGACGTATCCTCCAGTTCAAACTGATAATCGTAGGTCAACTGAAACATGATTTTATGCGATAGGTGATATATCTATAGATGCATTACAAAAATATTAGGTTGTCCGGGAATTAATGCCCGCTTTGAATTTCAACGGCAGTAAGTCATACACTTCTTCCTTCTAGGTTGCAAGGTACCGTTCGATAGAGCAAAGCAAGCTCTAGAAAATGGCCACCTTGCTTTTGCAGCAGCTCTCATCCACCTCTAGTTTCGACAAAAACTAAAAAGACTCAGCAGCCAGAAAAATCGAAAAAAATCGTAACTCAGTTCATAAAAATTCTACAAAAATTCTTAATTGCTCACGTAAACACTATCCACATAAAATATCTATATACGCCTTTGCCGTATTTTTTCCTCTGTTAAAAATCAAGAAAACTGAAATTTTTGTGCATTTGCCAAAGCGATGCTACGCTGTCCCGGATAGGTAGTTGTATACTACAAGCTTATAGAATTATAAACGTAAATTCTCAGCCCTCTACAAGCTTTAGTTCTCGAGAAATTTGAATTTTAGCTCCGACCACCCAACTAGGGAAAGCTATATTCGGTATTTCTCGAGAACTAAAGCTTGTAGAGAGCTGAAAATTTGAGTCTGTACTTCTACAGGCATGTGGTATACAACTGTGGGGAAGGCACAGCATCACTTTGGCAAATGCACGAAATTCGTTTTCTTGGTTTCTAACAGAGGAAAAAATACGGCAAAGGCGTATATAGATGTTTTATGTGGATAGTGTTTACGTGGGCGAGTTAGAATTTTTGTGGGATTTTTATGAACCAAGTTACGATTTTTCTCAATTTTTTGGGCAGTTGAATCTTTTTAGTTTTTGGCTCGAAACTCGAAGTGGATGAGAGCTGTTGCAAAAGCAAGAAGGCCATCTTGTAGAGCTTGCTTTGCTCTATCGAATGATACCTTGCAACCTACTTAGAAGTGAGAAGTGTATGACTTATTGCTGTTGAAATTCAAAACGGGCATTTTTCCGGACAACCTAATACATTATCATCAACCTGGAACGCGCTCCCAATTTTTGTCTACATGAGTAGTGAATAGCAAATGCTTATCAAGACACGCAACTCTCCCCTAACTCTCTCCGAAATTTAGCGATTAATGCTAGCCAGAATCTCGAAAAATTTGACTTTGTGAAAAAAATTCTCGCCCTCTAAACAAAGGATTCAAGAAAGATATGGTCATTTCTACAAAGGCTATTACGATGAGCAAGATGCCACTCAGTTATGGCAATTTAATCGATGTGAAAACAGTCTAGCAAACCTAAGATTTGATACAAATCGAGACTTGTCCAGACTTAAGAACATTGACAGAAAAAAAGCATGTTTCTCCGAAACCTAAGCTGGATTACGCTCCCATTCAATCAATAAGGAAATAGAAGCCTAATCAAGAAAAAAGCAAGAAAAGAGTGAACTTGACATTACCTCTTCCAAAGCTTTGATGGGGCGATTGGCAGTGATTATGATTTTCTTATCTTCAGGCGATGGCCCTGCTGCCAGGATTCTTGTAGAGCAATTAGGATCGCATGAGTGATTTATGTATCTGTAATTTCACAATGTGTGAAAAGTTAGAAACAATTTCCAATATGACCTATATATAAGTCTACCTTGCTGGACCACCTGCCATCGTAGCATCGACGAGCAGATCCTCGTCTATTCGGAACATGTAAACGCCACGGTTCTGAGCTACATATCGCTTTTCTCTCATTTCACCAACTTCGCTTCGAATAACTTCTCCCTAAAACTGGACATAAGGTACTGCCCATGCATGCTGAAGGTGTAATCAAACCTTGTATTCGATGATCATGTCACCCATGTGTATGTCCCGTTTCGCATACAGTCCAAGACCTTGAATCTTCGAACGAGCTAGATAAACCGTTTGACGCCAATCTTTCCGCATCTTTTGGTACAGAGTATAGCTTTGTGAATTACTTGAGAAAGGCTCACGTCCGCCCAGTGCCTAAACCAGCGTTATCAGCGTCGAAAAGTATGTGATGGGGTTAAAAATGGTTGAAGATCTATAAGTTCTGTCAACAATAATGCTCTCACCAATGCCCACTCTGCTCCAATGCCAGAAGCCTGCAACATGGCTCGCATCTGAGCACTAGCCAATTCATCTGTGAACGAAGATCCGATACGCCCCCTTGTTCGTCCGCTACTACTAGATGCTGTGTCTTGCGTTGATCGGCTAAAATGTTACACAATAAGGGATACCATTGCGGCTAAAAAACGTCTCTCTACAATGCTAGCTAATTAGATTTTTACTTTTCTTGCCTGGTACTTGGAGCACTGGCAAGTGCACGCTGCTTGTGCTTTATCAAGGTTCGAAATCGCGGTTCACAACGGGCGCATCCGGAAGGGTTCACAGCCAATGGCAAATCAAGCAGTGGACTACCAGGGTGCCGGAAAGTGTACGTGAAAAGTCCATCAACGCCGGGGAGCTGAAAAATGACCGTTGCTCATATTTGCTAACCTTACCAACGAATCTCAGCCAGAAACACAAATAATAGTCATATATTCAGAACGTACCGACTCAGTGATCTTGCTAATCGCAGACTCGTTCAAGCCAAACAATGTCTCTCCCTGAATACCCTTCGAAAAGAAACGCAAAGCATCAGTCTTTGCCCGCATTCGTTCGACGGCTGTTATGACCTCCGACCACGCTTCTGGAACAAAACAGATACAGAGCAAGTTGGAACAGTATGCTGGATGCATTACGCAGAACGGAAGCCAAACTGCAGAACAGATAATGATTGAAGACACATACCTGTAGCAGAATCTCCCTCGTACGTGCGCTCTCCACAAGTTACGACAAACTTAGGTCTATGATCCACATCCTTGATTTTGCAAGTATACACCAACCGTGTTTTTGGATCATCTGGTGACCAGAACCAGCGTGATGCATGATAGCCATTCTGCAAATAAGCAAATAATATTCGCAACGCAGCAGCAAGTAAGTCATATTCAAAACACTTACGGGGAATATGTGAGTCTGATTGTGGAAGGTTTTCAACTGATCCGGAAGTAACTGTCCCACTTGGAAGAAGCACAATGCCCCCAGCCGAAGGCACAAACGAGTATTGGAATCGGACAGATCGAACAGACGTGACAACAGAGCATTTTCGTCCCGCTCTATGTAAATTCTTCTGAGCGCCTCCAGTGATGTGACCATAACATCAGGACTGATCTCAGGATGTTTCGTACAGAAGAAAGTCTAGAAAAAGTAAAATAAATATAGAACGTAAAACAAAAAACGACAAGCATGCAATAAATTATAGACCTTGGGAAATATATTGCAGGCCTATATTAGATCCAAAGGCGGATAAGAAATTAAAAACAAAAAAGGAAGTCATGAGCGAAAAAGCGAATTCATATAACTTACAAACTAACCTTGTCTTTGATGAACTTGGCAGTCTGTATTTTTGCTGCACATGGCAGATGGAAATTGACGTTGCAATCAACCTTATGACACTGTACGCTGGCGCCAACCCGACCACATAAGTGACAAATCACTCCTGCAGCTCGAACTATTGCACGGTCAACGTGAAGAAGTGCACCGGAAGAGGATTCGAAAACCTGAACAACCTAATCTCTAGTGAAGTCCTAATTTCAAATAAATGAAGAGCAAGATATGTCAACTAACCTCGGTGCTCCACATCGCGCAGTTTACGTGAACCCACAGATTCGCACTCAGATTAAGGAGTCGTCCACAGAGTGCAGGATCTCCATCCCCTATTCCTCCACAAAGAACACATACACGACGATCAAGTTCAAATGATGGACCCAAACCAACACCCATTTTCGGTGACAGTGCCAACTCCTAAAAAAGCCAAGCAGAAGATGATCTTACGCAAAAATAAAATAAAAGAAGGGTCTCTTAGAACGGCTGCAGATATCAAAATGTAGTCTAACTTACATGCTTCGTTTGCTGGATCTTGAAAAACGACTGCAACAACTCGCGACTGTACGTTTTCCAGTCATCACCAGGATTGCGACCAGGATCCTTACGCTGAGAAACGTCGTGGATGCTTGCCAAGTCGGCGACACGGATAATCTACAAACTTATCATTAGCTTAGTCAAGATAAATCTTAAATTTACCTGTACATTGTCCCTACGCCCTTCATCCATAACATAACGAGTGTCTCGAGGTGATGTCAAGAATGCATCCGGAGGAACAGCTGGAGCAGGCGGGAGATCCATTCGCATCTGCGACAGAATTTTTTTTTAGATGCAGCTGATGGTTCGAATGGAAAGGAAGCTCGCATGGCAATCTCACCTTTCCCTGATTTATGCACTTTGCAAAACTCTCAGCACTTATTTGTCTCAACTTTGCCAACGTTTCCTCATCAACATGTGATTCGGCAGCTGTGAGTTGGTCTGGAGATAGTGCGACCTAAATGTTATACACAATTAGAGCATGCATGAGATGGCCAGACGGATGGGAAACGAACTTTGCTAGCAGCGACAAACTGGTAGTAACATTTCATGGAACAGAAGCAAACGGTATCATCCTTCTGGAAAAGATCATTTGCATTTTAGTTTACGCAGGTATGTTCAGCGTACCTCGTCATCAGTAGGAGTCAATCCCAGCTGGCTCATGGTTTGTTGTATGAGCACAGCTTCCATGCTTCTGTCACAAGCACGACATCGACCACTTGATGACGGTGCGGTTGGTTCCATAGGTTCTCGCTTCACCTTATCGATGTTTTCTGCTAAAATCTCATTTTGGGTAGCACAATATTCAAAAAGCTACAAACAATTATCAATGATAAGAAGATGCGCAAGCAGAAAACGATGCGCTACCTTTCATCGACGCTTCCGGTGACATTGGTGGAGTATCGAGCTGATAGTCGATGTTCTGCTCTACCCCCAGGATAGACCGTAGTTGCTCAAACAGGGCAGCTACTCCCATTCCCGGCGGAACTGTTGACTCTTTGACAACTAGAGAAACTTGAACCTCTTCCAAAGGCTCGGGTTTCTGAGAAGAAAAATTTCGGAAATTATTCAGCCACAATGACAAAAGTCACTTACCATATCGAAGACTGCACGACGAGGTTCAAGCGGAATGGTAAATTCTGGTAATTTGCTAGCAACACGCATATGATCACCACATGGCTGCCGATCTAGTGCATGAGCGAATACCACCCACTGATCAAAAGTGCCGTATGCAGTATCCTCGGCATCAACTACCAAATCATAGCTGGGTGGTGGAGACATCCTACAACGCTTCCATTGTTTTCTATCCCAATTAACACGACAGCGACTTGAGACTTACCCTAGTAACGCAGGCAGATTCGCTTGAGGGGCAAGGTCGGACATTGAAAGACTAGACATCTCCAAACATCCAAGTCCTCGACTTGATCCGGTATAATAGTCATCGACAAACGACAGCGATAAGTTACCAAATTCGTTTCCAACCAGGGCACGCTTATCTAAAAATCATGGTTATCTCGTAAAAAGTTCGAGATACCTATCTCCTAGTGTTGCATATGAAAGCATTTAGCAAGATTCTTAAACTTACCTCGCCGATCTGGAAGGTCGCTTATTCCCATGGTAGCAAATGCAGCGCCAGGATTACGAGGTGCAGGTTCTAGCGCCCTCTTAGGCAACTGTTCGCAAAGCCGTAATTGAGTGTTCACTCTTTCAACCATCAAATCGTATTCGTTTCCCATACCCATAGTTTCGAACTCAAAATGGAAGCTTTCGAAGATGAACTGCAAGATAATCAATAACAACCACACCTTCTTCTGTTGCGTGCGCTTTTTCTTCGGTCTAGGTGGTTCCAACTGTTCCATCAAATGATTAGCTGGACCGGGAGGACCAGCACCTCCCATAGGTGCCATCTGTTGCCCCATAGCAGGTTCCAGTAAACGCTTCAACATGCCTTGTCCAGCGAGACCTTCACGTGCAGGATCCCGACCATCAAAATGCACTGATACTCGGCTCACGATGTCGTCAAGACATTCATATACCTATAAGTGAGAATAGCACATCCTATAACAAATTAACAAGCTTCCGCTATGCATACCTCTTTCTCGAAAGCGCTTTGTAGACGTTCGTAGTGTATACCGCCAAGCACTGGAGCTGGCATACGAGCCCACATCCGAGCAACCTAAGCATTTGATAAAGAACTGTTTGGCAATGAAAAAACACAAACAAACTAGCATAGAGTAATGTAACTCACCTGCATTGGAGCTCGTTGCACTTCTTGCTGTGGACCGCAAACATTCCCATAAGGCATTTGTTGAGGAACACGCATCTGTTGGAACTGAGGAGAAGTCCCTGCCAAGTGCGAGTGAAATTGGGGAGGGACACCACCCATAGTGGTTGGAGACGGAAGCGGTTGATGACCAGGTGATGCAGGAATGGGACCACCAGCTACAGGTGCACCAGGCACTCCTCGTTGTGCCATGGCCATCCGCATAGCATCACCTGGTTCAACATTGCGCACAATGTTCCACTTGTGTTCAAACTCATATACAGTAGCAAGATGAGACTTCAAGTCACGTTTGCACGATTCCAAGTCCTGAAAAATGTATAAACTTGCACAAATGAAAGCATCTAAATTAATGACAGCAATACCTTTTGTCTCGCAGGAATTTGGTCCAAAAGCGTTTGTAGAGCCATACGATCCTGCTCATTCAAGTCAACCTGCGAGAACAATTCTAATAAAGGAAAAACAACATATACCAAAATTTATAATGGGTGGAGTATCACGCTCAAGTTACCTGAATCTGTTTGCCGTCTGCATCCGTTCCAGCACTTTTCATCATTTGCCGCCGCTTAGCAGCAAGATTTTTCTTCTGCTTGCGCATTCTGTTCAAGTCCGACTCAATGACCTGTAAGATAAGATGAGTTTAGTGAAACAACTTGCGCAACTTATCGACGCCTTGTAAGTCTTTCAGTAGTTATTTGGAATAAGCACTCACCTGCTGGTGTTTCTGAAGATCAAGCGTCCGCGTTCGCATCAATTCGTATTGCTCGAGAACCTAGAAAGAGCTTCGGTAAGGAGAAAAATAAGTTGAAATTTTATAAGCAGCGATTGTGGACAATCTTTTGGGCACAAACAGATAACATAACATACCGGTTGAGTTAGATGGGCAGTGGAGCGTATCTGCTGAACTGGGACCTCTTGGTTTGCGCCTGCCATTTCTCCCTGTAGGTAATCTGGTCGCATCGGTCCACCAGCAGGCACGCTCGGAACTTTGAATCGCTCGTCAACGCCAGACGCCATCTGATGGTGATGCTGAAATTCACGAACACGTGACTCATGAGAGGATAAGGAATGAAAACACTTACAGCTCGCTTCATTCTTGGCTGCTTTCCTCGATTAGCACGATTTTCTCTGGCTCGACTGACAAAATCTTGTCTATTCTCGGTGTCTAAAACCCTCCAAAGACGCTGAATGTGTTTGACGCGATCATTCCAATCGGGATATTTTTCCTGAACAGAGAAATAATCGATGTGAACGACACTCTATAAAAAGGTGTACTTTATACGCTACTGTAAACACAAGCTGCATCATAAAAGGACGAATAGGAAGAAGACGAAACAAGTCTCGTAACGATACATTAACGATTTATTCACCTTCAGATAGGCGTGCCTTTCATTTGCATAAAGCACAGCTGCTTTTGTTGCTTGAAGCCCCAGAGGCTCATCTTCTTCCCATCTGTAATCAAAAGAATAAATGCATGTATGAACACGAAAATACGCCCTCTGGAAGCGATACGCTTTACCTTTCTGTTGTAGGATTGTTCTTCTCCACGCCATCCATTTGACTACTGCTCCGCGATAAAGATTTCGGTGTATGAGGGATCATAAAAGAAGGGGTCGGCGCAGTAGGAGTGACACTAGTACTTGATACGTCGTTGGGAAAGGCTACAAAAAGAAAATTGACTGAGTAGAGTAATCAACGCTAGAATGACTAACTAGTCGGTCCAGTAGGAGCAGTCGAAGCAGGAGCGGATACGGAGTCACTATTGGTAGTTGGTTCAAAACCGTCTGCCTTCACAATGTCGAACGCATCTGAACATACTTTTTAAAAAAAGATACTTGTTAAACTTAACATACATCTAACATACTCTTAACATCTATTGCTCAACTAATTCATATGAAAATATACAACATTTGAAATTACAATTGCACATGTAGATGTCTCACGAATAAGATTTACATAGAAGAACCAAAACGGCAAGCGAGAAGACGCGTATCATAGCAGCATTCAAACGCTGATTTCAGTATTCTTTAACTGCATAATTCCGCAAAGGAGTTTTGAGCGCTTGGATGTGTGATTTTGTGAAAATTTTAGACACACTCAGAAACGAAACATTAATAAAATTTGATCGGACAATTGATAGGGATTTGCGACCAGCGTATGAGTCATTGGTAGTATACATCTCACACCAATTTGAGAGTGTTTTTATGTCACTCCTTTATCATACGGCAAATAAAAAATAAATTTGATTTGCTCGTCTATCTTCTTTCCATCAAAAAATGAGCATTAGACGAGACATGGATCAACAAAGATATTCTAGTAACAAGCAAATGAAATAGATTTGTGCCGCACCAACAACGTACCGTTCAGACTATCATCAAAATCGTCGTCCTCATCGTCTTCCATCCAATTGGTGAAATCCATATCCATGTTATCAATATCAACATCACCAAGGTCTCCAATATCCAGGTTTTTCAATATATCCACCTACAATTGTTGATAGAGTACTCCAACTCAAATTTCGATAAACCTACCTCCGTCAAATCATTCTTCAGCTGTTCTGTTGCTTCATGAGAAAGCTCATGCCCACCACTACTAGACTCCGCAACGGACGCTGTCTTTCCTTTACCATACTCAGCCAATGATGGTTCTTCAACTACGGCATCGATAAGCGCTTTTCCTTCCACAGGACGCATGCCAAAGAAGCCTTCCTGTAAAAAAATTGATTATGAAGAAAACGGATACATTGCAGAAGTTCTGAGTCAACCTGGATAGCTGGAGGGTACGCATCTTCCAGCTGACTCCGACGCGGTTTCCTCGGCCGTTTTTGCTTCTTGTTGCCATCCTCGTCTTGCGCCTCTTCTTCCATAGTCAACAATCGATGGCGTGGTATTTTCACGAAAAAGCCACCAACTCCTGAAAAGTTTTCACACAAATCAATTACAAAGCCTTTGTTTTTTTCAAAAAATCACAAACATACCAAGTTTCGGCACTCGACGACCAGGACCGCCTCCGCGACCCATTCCTCGACCACGGCCACTAGTGGAAAGCATTTCCAACTCATCTTGTAAGTAGTCATCCTCCACGCCATCTGTGGTAAGAAAAAAAATATTTCAAACCTTAGCGAGAGCATACAATGAAGTATAAAATGAAAGGTATAAGCATAAATGATCAAAAGCGATAACTACTAAGTATGAGAATATTTGAACGCTTGCAGTGAAAAGAAAATCTCAAATACGATTATAAATATTCAACTCACAATGTTCAAAACTGTCCGAACGGTATCCGTAAGCATCCAAGGGGTTTAGACGAAATACTCCAGGCATAAAGCGAGATTGCAAAACTTCTTCTGCCGACTTATTGAGAGCGACATTGTCGCAGATGAGAAGGTTTGAATGGTCTCCTGAAACGGACTTATGATAGATAGATGATTATTCACAAACTAGTTCACGCGCACATCTAGCATGTAGGCAATGCCTATATTATTACACATTGGGAAAACTGAATCGATGCATAAAAATACCTAAACCCATCAATGACGAAGCATTTCGACTATTCGGACGGCATGCGGAACAACGCATCTTGTTCGCAGACGCAGATTCCAACATTTCATCATTGTAGAGGTCTTCGCAAGTCCCATGATACCACCTCAAATTGTGGCTAATTAGAATAAGAAAAGATAACGTAGATGCACGGATGTAATGCATATAAAGGGAATATTGGAAAAAAAACCAACGCTAACATGAAATGACATACCGTGCACATGAACTGCACTTGATTATCTTTTCACCGAGATTGTAGTTCTTAGAACATTTCGGGCATTTACGAAGAGAACTGCATGTAGTGCACAAGCCATCACGAGTCAGATCAGTTCCAGATGCTACTCTCACATTACATCTGCGACATCGAGAACACCTGAAGGTTTTGCTTATCTTCGAGCAAAAAGCAAAAGTCTGCATATTCGAGAGGCTTCAAGCTTTGCGCATTAGTAAAAACAATAGAATCAAGAAAACAATCAATAAGATGGAATATCCAAAAAACTATGTGTGATGTAAAAGAGCTATGACAGAGAGGGAGACTTACCACTGACACCTCCAGGGTCCATTGGGTATGCGTTCAAGTGGCGGAGATAAGCAATAGATATGGTACGAGACATCGCATTCTTCGCATAAAAGCAGTTTCGATTCATCTTTGCCCTCTCCACATCCTTCGCATACTGTGCAGTCAAGGCAACGCCATCCTCTGTTGACAACTGCTTGATTTAACTGAAACAGACAAATTGTTACAAGATGGCCTGCTGCAAGCGAGCACGTCTGTGCTTCATAGTAACTACGAAGAAATCCTAGAATATCCTAGATCATAAGGCAGCGTCCAGGCAGTTCTGGACCTATGGGGATTTTACGTGGAAAATACTTTCGAGGCCCTAACTAAGGTACTGCCCAAGCGGCAGCGCAGGTAATGCTCTAATGGCTGAGATATTACCCTCGAAAATCGACCCCGCAATCGTATTTGCATGGATTCATGGCAGTTTCGTGCCAGAACCCACCTTTACGCCATGAATCCATGCGCAATACGATCGCGGGGTCCAGTTTTGAGGAAAATATCTCAGCCGTTAGAGCACTACCTGAGCTGCCGATTGGGCAGTGGCTTAATTAGGGCCCCAAAACTACTATCCACGTGAGATCCTCATGTGTCCAGACTTGTATGCAGTACTAAGGAAAAAAGTAAACATTAATATGATCAACAAGAAAAAATCACCTTCTCATGAAGACCTACACAATAGGTGTGGAACGTCTGCGCACAATTACAGCATGCGATCATCGAACTTTCCTGTGTGTGCGGTTTACCTATCGCACCACACACCAGACAGAGACTCGACTGCAAAAGAAGGGCATAAGAAGATAAAAGTAGTTTGAAGCTAAGACAAAACGCCAACCTGTTGCATATATGTATCTTGAGCATCACATATGACTGCTGTGCGTACATATTCAACATCATCAGCACGAGTGTTCCGCTCCTCCTCTTCCTCCAGCATTGTTTCATCAACCTGAATTCAAATTAATATAGTGATGCGGTCTTGCATAATTCCCAGTGCATGGATGAAAATTTCAAAAAAAACGGCGTACCTCTCGGATCTGCGACTGAGGTGGATGGAAATGCTGATGATGATGTTGCTGATGTTGTTGCATGATGATATGCTGCAAAACTGCGCTTTGCTGCAGCTGCGCAGAAGATCCTCTGAAGAAAAAACGTACATAGAAAAAGAAAAATTGCCAAAAAAAAGAGAAAAACTAGAAGAAAAAAATTGTTCGATAATCTTATGGTTTTTAAAACAAATTGTTTTCTGCACCAGCGGCAATTTTACCTGGTTCAAAAACAAAGCACATCGGGACTGACTTTGATGACCTAGTGCAACACAGCCAAACGATTCATAAGTTTTGAGACTCTCCATCCCTCCACAGACATAAAACACAGGTGTTGAAAGATACGCACCGCCCCCGTCCTCGACCTCTTCCAGTGCCAGGTGCCTTTCCAATTCCATTCACTTTTGCGCCACGTTTACCACGTTTTCCCCGAGTTGGTGGCGCGAAAACGTTCGGATCTCCACCTAACGGCTTCACGCCCCTAGATTTGGAAGACCCACGACCAGGCTTCTTTTTGGCACCTCCTCGTCCACGCGATGTATAACCGCCACGAGAACTGAACATAATAATTAAACTTCATTGAAACTACGCATATGTAGAAAAATTAATTGGCATCAGGTGATCACTAACCTTCCTGGAACAAAATCCTCATCTACGTCCGACGGCGAGTTCTCCGGATAGAAAGGCGAATTTCGGGCGGAGTCGCTAGTTGTTGCAGGTGACGAGATGCCCTCCGACATGTTGTACACATCGACGTTGAAATCTGGTACGACAGAGGCGGATGTGACGGGAGAACTTGACCGGAATGGATTCAGCGTCATGTCAGATACAGATGCTGATGATGGAGCAGCTATAGAGTCTAAAATATTAACATTCTACTTCTACCATTTTGAAATTGAAGAAAAAAACTTACCGGACTCAGCTCCAAGCGGCGAAGCTGGACCAATTGCAGCAGATAGCATTATGTCACCTACTAACGGTGATCGACGGCACGATGCACAAACGAACTCCGACAGATTCACATCCGATCTGTCGCACTCACGATGAACGAATCTGAACAACATATAGTAAGAAAGATGCTAACTTATATGATGAGTTCTATATTTCCTCAACTACGCGCTATTACGTGAGAGCATTGAAATCATCCATACTTTTGAAGCGGTCGTGGTAAAAAAAAACCTCGTCAAAAACTTAGACCTTCACTAAACCGATAACAGTAGAATCAGTATTGTGCAAATTTACAGACAGAAAATTTGATGGATAAAGAGTTTAAAAAGGTGTGAAGAAGCAATATGGTTTAAGCAGAGATCATTAAAGGTGACATAACTTGATAGTACTGAATATCCCAAAGTAGATATGGGGAAAAGGAGAAAAAAAAACTCCAGAATATAAACGAAGAATGCGAAAAATACATAAGCTTTCCCATATCTCTACAAAAAACGTAAAAATTAAAGACGCGTTGAATTTGTAGGAGCAATAGCAATCACTTGTTCGAGCGCATACTACAGGATGGTACCAAGGAATTTCATTTTCCACAGCAGAGCAAAACGTAGGGACGAAATCAAACTTTTCGCATATGAATGAGTTACATCAAGATTGCTGAAAGCCCGGCAGACCTCAAATTTGAAAAAAATAAACTCTGCATTAACGCCCGATGTCGACTACTACGAGCTGTAAGCAGTAATCAAGAAAACCGGAAAAGGTAAATATAACGGTAGTGATGCCAAAAGATCTGATCATAGTAAAGCGGTAAATTTAGAACTGTAGTTACTAAGATGAGCAAAAGGCTGCGTTCATACTGATGCGGAGTCCGGAGATAGTTCCAGCACAGCGCTCGAAATGAGCGCTGTGCTGGGGCGGTTCCCGAACTTCGGGATCAGTATGAACGCAGCCAAATGAAAAAGGATAATACCAGTAACAGAATAAGTCCTTATTTGATCTCATATTCAGGATGAAACAATTTCGGAAACGTAAAATGAAAAGTCAAAATAAAGTAGTTCTCACTTTTTGCACGATGTGCAGACCCGAGCAGCGTTGTGGCTGAGTACAACCCCAGAACACAATGGACAAACAAGTCCTACTCCCATTTGCATTGCTCCACCAACCCCAGAGCATGTATCGCATACTTCTGTAGCTCCACCACCCAAGAAGCCGCTTCCGCATTCGATACACTAAGATTACAGAAGTTTTCAACAAACATACAAATGAAGAATCTTGGAAAAGAAATGAACTGTAAATGACGAACCATTCGGGTTTCTAGCTTGGTTTCGAGCATCTTCATTTCTCCGTTTTCAGAGCTACTGTCAATGCAACCATTCGCCGATATTTTGGCAAGATTGTCCTTCCTGTAAAGCCGAACAATGGATGTGAACATGAGAAACAATTTACAAAAGAAAGTTACAATCTCTGCAAATATGGAGACAAAGATGCTACATCGAATGCTTACCGCAAAAATAGTTAATGGAATGTAAAAGTAAGCCTTTGAGATTTGTTAACTTACGCTAATCTCGTTGCGAAGGCGTCGAGCCGTAAAGACTTCTGTTGTTTTGATAAAACGAGAGAATGATCTCTGTTCATAACCAATAGTTAACAATTCATCATGCCACTTGTGTTCTCTTCCTGTTAGTTTAAATCTAAAAGACACACATTTTGACAGTGTCGAGTTGTCGAGTAAATTTTGAAAATTAAGAGGAAACACAAGAAATACAATCAGACGAAGAAGCAGAATACTGTAACAGCTTCATTTTATTACATTTTATCATCCAAGTATGGAAATCAGCAAAGGACGCTGGTAAGAAAAAATGCAAATTGGTTGAGACCAGAGAGAAATGTCGCCTCTTCAAACCCATAGATTTGGAGATCGGGAGAAGTCGAAAACAGAAAGATTCACAAGAGTTGGCGCTGTCTCAAAAACAGATCCATATAAAAGCTTCACCTATAAAGAGTAAAACAAGATCAGTAAAACCGACATATAACAAAAGAAAACAGATGCCAACTTCTCGGTCTTTTCGGGCAAAAGAAAACCACAAAATCACCTTTGAAAGGAGATTTTCCTAAAGATGAGAACCGCGTATCCGAAGAGTCATAAAAAATCAGAAACAATGAAGCATCACAAAAACTTAGAAGAGCTTCTACGGAAGAAAGACTTGATTCGAAATGCTTTGCAAGAAACGTCCCACAAAGCTATAATCCTTGCAAACTGCAGCATGCCCACCCATCCGGATAGGATAAGAACCGACGCTGACCCGGAAACTGAGCGATGTGAACTCATTAACGGGTCGTGAACCCAAACATCGATGAAAATACAGAGAGAAAATTCGGCTATCGATCGCCGGCAATTTGCCAAGGCTTTTCTCTGCCACCTCCTCATGCGTTCGATGTTGCGCACTGTTCGGCTACCCTCTCACCATTGCTGTCTGCACACTGCAGGGGTTTCTCAGGGGCGGGGCCGATTTATCTCGCTGCTGTGCGGTTGCGTTGCGTCTAGCAATTCGCCCTCGCACAGCTGAGGGACGGGGCACGGGCGCAACGTGCGGGGGGTCGAAACGGGGTTGGGGGTCGGCACGATGTCGAATGGTTTGTGGTGGTTCCATGATTTGGGTTGAGAGTAATTTTAGGGGCTGTCATTCTAGGGGGTCAGCAATTTTTGCCGCACGGCAGATTGGTTGGACAGTAGCGCAACGATTGCCACATTCGTTCTTCGAAGTAAAGCTTTTGAGTTTTAAGGTGGTGGGCGGGCAATTTGTAAATCTCTCCAGAATTTGTACTGTTCATAGCAATGTGGGAATGCATCATTTTCCGTTGAGATCTCGCTAATTTGTAGCAAAAGCTGCGAAATGTGGTTGGTAGTAACTTTCCGTGGCTAGTTGCCAATCTTTTGTGACTATGTGGCGAGATTTTCTTACCGCTTGTGGTACTCCCGGAGGGGTACTGTGTCGCCCAGGAGTTAGGGTGTAAGCTCAACGGCGACAAGTTCCATTAAGGTTTTGAGCGACCCAAGTTCACGACATCGTTTTTTTCAGTCTTGAAAGGTTTTGAAAAGCTTTTTTTTTGGCGGCCCTAATCCACTTTTGGCCCCGGTCAGACTTCAAGCGACTTAATCGTCGCGACCAAATCGCCAAGATTTCCATTCATTTTCATTTCACATTCAAAAATTTCGATCTGGAAAAGTATCACAACCGAATGCAAGTTGATCTGCATGGAATGATGTTGTAACAGTTGTCTCCTCGCGATTCAGTCGCGACGATCAAATCGCGTGAAGTCTGCCCGGGGCCTTAGTTGGCCCAAAAATGAAGATCGCGGATTTCGCCGAAACTTCGTCTAGAGGGGTTATTTTGCACGCTGATTACGAATATCAGATTTGATTCACATGGTAGTGCCATCTGCTGGAGTTACGGTAGGAATACTTTAGGGGTCAAAATCACGTATTTGCTCCAAACATCGTCTAGGGGGGTTATTTGGCAAGCTAAACATGAGTATCATATTGAGTTCGTACAGTGCCACCAATTAGGTTACGGTGGATATACGGTAGATAGATAGGAATCCCGAATTTGCTCAAAATCTTGCCTAAAGGGGTTCCTAATCATGCTTATTGCAGAATCATGCTCGTTGGTTAGAGTTGTCTAAATGTTAGAGTTACGATGAGCTGCAACGCGTCAAAGAGCAATTTGCAATTTCCGCTTTAGCGAAAAGCGGTAAGAACATCATGTAGACATTTTTGTCTTACTATCTAGCGTTTCAGCGAAATTTAGACTCCAAAAATCCACGAAAAGACCATCGTGCGAAACGAGTGCGATATTCGAAAACAGCGCGCTTGGAAACCTTTCTAGGCAAAGTTTTGAGCGAATTCGGATTTTAGTCATCTACCGCATACCCACCGTAACCCGAGAGGTTGGCGCTACTGACGAATGAATATGATTTCCATGTTTAGGGTGCCAGATATCCTCACTAGGCGACTTTGGGACAAATCTGTGGTTTTGACCCTTTGCCGTAATGCTACAGTAACTCCATAGGATGGCGAAATGAATGTGGTATTGTAATTACCGCGCAATGTAACCACCATCCACGATTTTTATTTATTGTGTCAACTGATGTGGAATAGTATCGATTTAGATTCGCCACGGGATCTATGGCATGCCGGAAATCCTTAGACTTTCGTTGTAGTCCCTGTCTTACAGGGAAAGGGTACTTATTGTTAGTCGAAGGGCCTCTCATATGAGATGCAAGTTGTATTGAAGAGTATAGAAGCTAATTTCAACTCTCTTTGTCCTTCAAAGCGTCTGTGTGGGAAGAGTTACGAGAGCTTTGCGGGGCGGTTTTGTAAGTGCCGCTGTGGTAAAAACTGCACGGTCTTTCTAGTGCTTCTCCTAACTATATTTGTGTCGTCTGTCGTAACCAACGCTACCGTGATGTACGATAATTTTGTACTGATGTTTTGTATGCTTCCATGACCCATCTCGCAAAACAGTGTTTTGTCTTGTTTGCTATTCGTTCAACGAAGAAATCTGCCACTGGCGTTCCAAACTGGAGGAGCCAGTACTGGCCAGCTGGCAGCCTTCCAAACACACAGTGCTGGCTACCCCTTTAGGAACGCCAGTGGCAGCTTTCTTTGTTGAACGAATAGCCAAGACAAAAACACTGTTTTGCGAGATGGGTCATGGAAGCGTCAGTACAAAATTATCGTACACCGGAAAACCCGGCGATCTCGTAGTGTTTGTTGAAATCTTGCCGGGGAGATCCTGGCTTAGGAAGAAAATCAAACCTTAACCGGTAAATACAAAACCGCTGTATCCCAGCACATAATGTCTGAGTAGGAGACTGCCATCGTTGCACAGAATGCCATGAAAGTTATATACCTTCGCCTCATTTAAGTTTATGAGATACATTTTAAATGGATACTTTAGGCCGCACATTTGATTTCATGTTTGAAGGACTTTATAACCCCTCAGCAAAAGTGCCTCGCAAATAGCGAAGACAATTCGGTACCAGTATTTTACGCTTATCACGACGCCATTTCAATTGAATAACATTCTCTTTTTGATGAGAGTGACCATTCAAATTGCGATGCATACTCTTGGAGTGTCTAACCCATAAGGAGGGGGGGGGGAGTAGTGGGAGTGAGATGCTATGTGTCATTTTCTCTCTGTTGTCCGAGTTAACTGAGCAAAACCAAAGTGCAATTCTAAACGCTTGAAATATAAAAAAATTCGCATCGCTTTCGAAAAAATTTTGACCTTGACTTGCTTACGCATACACTCTCCATCCTAGATTTTTACACGTATTCTGATCCGGCTTACAACATGAATGTGCATAAGTTTTCAACAGCTGCAACTGCTTGCACTTGGTGAGAGCACAGACTTTCTAGTCTTTTGTGACGCTAGTGTAGTTTTCAAGGCAATAAAACCTAAAAGTGGTCCTAGAACTCTCAAGTGGTTGCTCAACTTTTGATTGTATATGCATACATAGTATCCATATCAACCCGTTCCGCAAATTTATCCAATTACAAAATTATGAAACAAAACACGCAATGTTATAGATACATTCACGAAAATTATGACGGAAGCAAACATGACTAGACTAACTGACATGAGCTAATCTACCTAATGAGTCACAAAAAACATCATGAACCAGGCTGATCAAAATATTAAATTTTTGGAGTTTTCGAGTCTTCTCAGATAGTAAGGCAATCGTTTGCGAATGGATTTAGGGAACCTTTTGGTATTCCTTACTGGTCCTCGATGTCTATGAGGGGCTCTGGTAGCGGTTTCGTTAATTTTCATCGCTTCGTTCAACATTTTCCACATGACTGCGGTGTGCAGCATGTCCGATCTCATTTTGGCATAGCGATATCCATACATGCTTCCTCCTTCGACAGTGGAGCGACAACAGTAATTTCGTCCATCTAGGGCACGTCTGCAACTTCCTTCAGAACACGAGGCATCATCCCATCCCTGAAAAAATTATATCAAGAAATTTCGACAAAATAGCATTGTAAAACTCAAGTGATTTCGGCCCTGGTGAAAAAATCTCATTTTTTCCTGGTTGCGAGACTGTTTCGCTATTTTATTTTGCAGAATTAACTCCGATAGTGCAAGAAACTCCTATTCTTACGAAACGCTAAGGTTCCCAGCCAACCCGCAGCCTTTAGAGTTAAAACTCCGTTTCCAATTTTTTTCGAATTTTTTGAGCTCGATAACAAAAACGCACTAACCGAACAAGTGATTGGGACATTGTTGGCATCAGTTACCGCCTCCGAACAAACTTGAGCAGAGAATGGATTTGGGCAGCAAGCATTCGAACCATCTTGGAGTTCCTCGCAGATGTAATCGGAAGGGCAGGACAGAGGATTTGCACGGGAACAGCTGAAAGAACGCGACATTTGATGATCTTCGTTGTTTATAATGTTGTCTTTCTCAATGTAAAAACAGCCCATATTTCGTAGCCAGTGTGGGATATTACACTCGAAAAGGTGCACTAATTTTGAAGTTTTAGTTGCTCAGTAGCTAGTCATAGAATATGAAATTACTGGCGTAGACATGGTTTCTGTTTGGTAGGAGGGCGCGAGAAAATTTCTTGAATGAAGGTTTGTTTCTGGGATGCTTCTCAGAATTTTTGCGGGCTCCTCCGAAATTAGAAACTCCGAAAAGATTCTTTACAAGGCGAGTTTAAATTCAAAAATCAAAAATTATTTTAATCCTTTACAAGTAAAAGTCACTAGTAAATTCCAGTGGCGTACCGAGGGGGGGAGGCGCGGGGGGGGGGGCGCGCGCCCCCCCTCCCGAGAATGGGTCGCGAAATCTTTGAAAGTTACTTACATGAGTTATAAAATTGTGCAAAAGACTTATTTATACTTGTAAGTAATTAAAATAATTTTTAAAAATTTTTAAAAATTCAATTTAGCCTTATAAAAAATTTTTTTCGGGGGCGTGGCTGACGCCAAGCCCCCTTTTTCTGAAATTTCGGAGTCCTGAACCCCTGAAAATTTCAAGAAGTATACCAAAAATTTTTTCGGAGTGCGTGGCTGACGCCACGCACCTTCGTCGAAAAAAAATTTTTGTCGCGCCCCCCCTCCCCCCCGAGCCGAAATCCTGGATACGCCACTGGTAAATTCTTATCGTATAAGTAACTTCCAGGATTTCGCGACCCATTACGCCACTTATGTCAGTACATATAAGAAGTTATCAATTCAAATCTGTATTCATATCTTACACTACACGCTCATTTCTGCTTACACATCTCTAGGAGAGTTTTAGCTTCTCCGCCAAAAAAAGGAAAGGGTTTGCTCTTTTTTTAGCAAAACTGAACTCTCTTTTCACTCTTCATGCACTGAAAAATTGTTCCGTGATATGCATTTTTGTATTTTGAGCCATACACATTTGACTCACTGAGTTGGTGCTCAATTTCGAAAGTAAGCGTTTTGTTTCATTTTTGTTAACATTTTAGACTCATTATTAACTTATCCATAGGCAAGCCCAAACTGAGAAGTTATTGGCTATGAAGGTTTGAAGTGTCTGTAGATCGCAAGCTGTATTCAAAAGCCCGTCAATACTACTAGACAACTGGTTAATTTTTCGAAGAACCGCACCGCATTGGTTTCGTATTGGTCACATCCAGAAGAGGCATTTTTGAATCACTGCATGTGAAAACATCGACTTTGTGGCAGCAGAAGAAGATTGCATCGGAAACTGATGTGCTGTTATCATCCTCCTCGATAACAGGTAGACAAGCTGTGGCCGATGGACAAGATAGATCTCCTGGCAAAATTTCGAAGCTACAATGGCTTTGTGAATGATATTGAGTGAATTTCCTGCTTACCTGGGAAACATCTCTTGGGTCGTTTTTCATCTAAATCAACAAATGGGACTATGCACTTTTTCTGAGGTTTACAACACAAATGTCGATCCTCTCCATTTGGCATTTTTCCTGCAAAGTGAAATTTTTCTTAGGCTTTTTGAATTATTCTAGTCCTACCAGCTCCGAGCACACAAGCATAATCACTTGGACAGTTGCCTTCAACGCCAATCGTGCAGGTACGGGGACGACCACCTGGAACTTGCAGCTATACAGGCCCAGGAATGATTAGTTTAAAACGAAAATCTATGCTTAATGAAAAAGAAGAGCGGATGGCTTAAGGCAGTGTCCGGGCAAAAACTCGATTTTGAGATTTTGTGCTTATACGGGCCTATTCGCCACACTGAATCCGAAAATCCACATTGGAAAGCTCGAAAACGGCGAAAAAGGGCTCTAATACAGGAGAGAAATCAGCAGGTGGGCGGGGCTTTCCGCAGTGCGATTTCACGCTCCCAGCTCCCAGAGCTCTCGATTCCGCTAGCCATCCTAACATCGCTACCGGCCAAGTGCGAATGATTGACTTGAAACCGGAAGCGAGAAGGTCGCTCCGGAAGCCGGGAACGTGAGTTCGCAGCGGGGAGGACCTCGCCCACCTGCTCAATCCCTCCGGTGTTAGACCCGTTTTGGCCATTTTTGCGCTCTACAATGTGCATTTTCGGATTCAGCGTAGCGAATAGGCCCAAGTAAGCACAAAATCTCAAAATCGAGTTTTTGCCCGGACACTGCCTTTAAAGGCAGTGCCCGGGCAAAAAGTCGATTTTGAGAATTTGTGCTTACCCAGGCCTATTCGCCATGCTGACTTCGAAAATCCACATTGGAAAGCGCGGAAACGGCGAAAAAGGGCTCTAACGCAGGAGGGAAATCAGAAGTGGGCGGAGTCTTCCCCACTGTGAATTTCGCGGTCCCGGCTTCTGAAGCGACTTTCTCAATTCCGCTAGCGCCCTGAGATCTCCACAGGCCAGGTGCAAATGCATAACTTGAAATCGGGACCGAGAATATCGCTCCGGGAGCTTGGAGCGTGAATCCGCAGTGGGGAAGACCCCGCCCACTTCTGATTTCCCTCCTGCGTTAGAGTTCTTTTTCGCCGTTTTCGCGCTTTCTAATGTGGATTTTCGTTCAGCATAGTGAATAGGACCGGGTAAGCACAAAATCTCAGAATCGACTTTTTGCCCGGACACTGCCTTTAAGACACTAGAGTTAGGGTTCTCGGCGCTTTACCAAAATAAGACTGGAAGAAAATTTGTGTAAACAGTCCTACACTTTATTGAAAATCGTCGATTTCAAGGTTGACCTACCATTCCACACCATTTTATCATTGTTAATAGTAAGGGTCAGATGTATGTATAATCAGTGTGGGTAGAGATATTAGGTCGCCGAAACAGAGGTCCCACGCGCACATCTGCAACTAATGCGCCCTTCGCTCCATTCATGGATCGTGTTAGCTGTCCGCGCGGGTGGAGCCTACTGGCGAATTAACGCCCTCTACCCACCCAGTGTCATTAGCCAGAAAAATCGGTCTTATAAAGCTCCCGGTAGGAAAATGATGCTAGCAGTCTCCAAGTTTTCGCCAGGTTCATCTCAATTGAGAAGAACCAAACCAAAAAGTCTATCAAGCGCCTAGATAGCAAGACAAAAATGTCTACATAATGTTCTTACCGTGTTCACGCAAAGGTTGCATTCCATCGGGACATTCCAGCGGCTTAGTACAGCAGATATACTCCTGAATAAGCAAAGTTTTCTCACTGTCAAACGAAGCTAACATAACTTTCCTGCAGAAGTTCTTACAGTCAGCATGGTCTTGAATTTTCCTTTAATCTCTACCTTCTTCTTAATCATACAATCACTTTATACTAAAGTGAGTTTAGCGTTTTTTGAAGTATTGATCGCTGTTATCATTATTTCAGTTCTGACCTTTTGTATTGGAATAGTGTTGCGTTTACAGTTTCGAAAAAATTCTACAAGATACAGAGCGCCCTCCACCAAGAAATCAATGAGAGATAGAAGTTACAGAAGTGGATATGTTCGTCAGAAGAAAATTTCCGTATGGATCCTAATAAAATTGCAATACTTTCCAGGCTTTTCACAATACATTTTTATGTCACTGTTCATCTCATGACTACCGGCATACTTACCAAATTGGGCGCTTTTTGACAAGAATAATTCTCCGGACAAGAATTATGGGCATAGGGATCACACGACTTCGGCTCGCCTTTCTGTAAAAAGAACATTGTGTAAGTTACCATGGTGATCACTTTACTTTTTCATTCAAAGAGCTTTTTTAGCTCTTGAGAACTTGCTTATTTTGCAGTCTTATGATCTGCATACCATCAAAGTATCAAATTACGATGAAAATCAACAAGTTATGAAGCTTCTAACTCAATTTTCTTGTCTAAGCAAATTAAATGAAAATCATTGAGCACTGAAAAATTGACGTAAAAATTGAATGTATCAACTTACACTTACTTTCAAAAGAGCTATGGACTCAGCTGCTGGGCAAATGGGCTTAGTACGGCAACAGATTGCAGCAAATGGAGATCTGAAAGTGGAAGGAATTCTTAAAACTGCTCCTGTGACAGGAAACTCTATTTGTATCACAAACGTTTTCACACATTCAAAACCCATAGGACAGCCACTTTTGGCCTTTGCATCGCATAACTGTGGTTGACCAGTGACAGGGTTGTAATGTACCTCGAGATGGTTTGGGCAAGTACCTAGGGTTAGCAGTAAGCTGGAGGACCAGTACAAATGGGAATAGTCAATAGAACGAACCAACACAAAAATCTATGCACTGCTCCTGACTGGCAAAGGAGTTCCATTGCTCATCACCGGGTACGTATTCTTTCTGAAAGAAGTATGAACATTTTGGCTATACTCACGTTGTGTTTGCTTACCATTTCACAGTCTCCCGTTCTGTAGTTGAAAGTCCAGGTCATTTCTTTGAAGAGGAATCTACGATTACTGCGTTCAGCCAAAGGAGAGCCACAAACAAAATCTGTAGAAAAAAATTTTTGTGTCATTACTGTTCTTTTCCTTAGCTTTGGATACCGGGTGCACACTGGAAATCGATGAAATGCGTTATTCGGAAATCAAAAATCATGAACCAGGGAACTTCAGAAATTCAAATTTTATTTTAGTTACGCCAAAGATAAGATTACATGCCTGTTCAGTAAACGAATCTCTCTGCATGACTTGTAGTTTAGATAAACAAATTTGTAATTCTATTTTTAATTGAAACAGTATCCGCATTGAACTCTTCCGTTTATTTCCTTTTATCTTTTTTTCAAACTCCCCCTCACCTCTACTAGGACAGCATGCTCCTTTCCTCAAATCAGCTCGTCGGGTACAGGTATAGTTCCTCTGGCACTGGTTATCTTCAGTACATGTAGCAATTTTGTTGATAGAATATCTATCAGGATGAGGATCTCCGCGCAGACAAATAACTATAAAGAAATATTTCACAAAATTGGTGTGCTTCAAATCCGTCCAACTTTCTGCATTGCAAAAGTGGATGCATTCTCCTTTGCTCTTAAAATTGTTTTCATTTCCACCACAACCAGTAAAGGTAAACGGACGGCAAACTCTTGACGGAGCGTCGTAGAAGTACCTAAATTGTCTTTGATACTGGGGCAATTTTTGAAAAAAATAAAAATTCCATACCTTGTCTGCGGAGGTCCACCACAAGAGGTGCCAGCATTGAGCGAAGCCTGACAAATGCGTTCTGCAAATTGATAATCTCCACAAAATTACCACGATTTTTGTAAATACGAAATTCAAGAAAAAACTTGTGTGAGATATAATAAATTTTGACAATTCATAGAATCTTGCTGAAAATTTTCTTGCAGAATAAAGATACAAGAATAAAATTACATGAGATGATAGTGTGGTTAAAATTTTCACAAATTTCATAAATATGAAAGCTACCTTTTGAAACGCTAGTCCTATTTAGCTTTTTCGATCAAAAAACAAAAGCATAAATGTTGAAAAAAAAGCTTGTGTGAGATATAAAGAGCTTGTTTTTCTTGACAGTTTGGAATTCGACAAAAATTTTCTTCAAACAAAACAAATAAATCTGGTCTGTCTATGGCACAAATCCAAGTATTTAGTGAATTCAAAGGGAGAGTAAAGCTTCGCATTTGCATAGCTTTCAGGAAAATTGACACTTACCTGGCTTCAGACAACATACAGATTCCATTCCATGTCCTATACACTCATGAGATCCTGGACATGGGACTCGATCAGCATCACAACGCTTTATGTTGCCGGCAAAATCCATAAGCGGCAATCCTTTTCCACAAAGAGCTAAACTGTTCAAATCAGTGAAGCATACCGTACAGATTATATCTTGGTTATTCTGCTAAGCAGATTTCAAAGTTTCAAAAAATGTAGAAAAAAATCGTTCAAAATCAATAAGGCATAGGCTGAAATTGAGTAATCGAAAAAATTCTTGTATCTATCTAGTAGGTTCTAGTGAAGCTCTATTGAAATGATTAACAAAGCAATGGTAAGCGATTTTTTTCAAAAACCTCACTTAAACTCCTGCAGCCATTGAGACAATCTTCCCTGGAGGCAAAGCGGTTCTGATTACCTCCACATCCCTTGAACGTAATCTCGAGGCAATCACCTAAAATATAATTTTTTGTGTATCATCATTCTATACCTATCCTTACCGATATCAGCATCAAAATAAAACGCCGAATACGAAGCACCAACCGTTCCACATTCATAGCCTTCGTCTTTAGGTAGCCGACAAAGAACACCTCAAACGAAAATGTCTGTTCAAAATCGAAACGGATTCTAAGTGCTTTCGAATTTGCAGGACATCAATAAATGCATAAAATTTTCAGTGTTCTTAACCAAAGTTGAAAACGTTGTAAACTTCTACAAAAATTTACTCTCAAATAATTGTAGTTTTCTGCAAGAGTCCATGCTTAACTGACACTGATATGTAACAATACGCACGCACCCACCACATAGTTTCCTTGTTTGTCCTATGCTATCCCTCTCAAATTCAAAACTGCTTACCTTCCGTTTAAAGGCAGTATCTCACCAAAGTTGAGGTCGCGCGGATCTTCACATATTCTATTATAGGGACCTCTAAATAGGCCACTGCAACAAGTCCCACTCAATTTGACCCCCTCCATGCTGAGAAAATTTCGCTCAAAGTGGTACGCGGAGAGCGAGTTGGTACGCGCGGACGACTCCTTCGGTCTCCCCCCTTACGCGTTTGAACATGTCCCTCGCTGAGGCTGAAGTGGGAAGGTATAACTCGTCCACGTTGCTTCCGCGGGGCCTCCAGAAAACGGTGTTTTTTGGAAACTTTGTGCATTTTTAAGCCCATGCAGTGCTAGACAGGGTCCGACAGGCTCGTAAAATGCAAAAATCTTGGCAACTAAATTTTGGTGAGACACAGCCTTCAACGAGAGTATCTTGTTAACTGGGCTGTGGAGAGTATACAAATCCCAGCTTGTATATATGAGTATGGGAAATATGAAATATCAGATTGGAACATAAGTTTTGCACCAAAAATTCCAAAAAAATTCAATTAAAAATGCTCAGAGCAACGTTTCAATTTGTGTAGTATTTTTTGTATATGACACAAGCAGTATTTTATCGCATACAATAGAGATTTCAATACAAACAATATACAATATCAAAGCTCAAAAGAAAGATTCGAAAATTATGCCTTTCCGTAAAGAATCCTATCAGCACAAATTTATTTTAGTTAGAAGGAGTAATTTATACAATCCTAAAAAAGTAAGAGTAGAAATTTCTGGGCCTTTCAGCATTTTTGGGAATCGAAAGTTGTACGCAATTTGAGTGTTTGCTTTCAACGGGTTCTTTTGCGGCGATATAACAATGGTGATTGCTGCTCCGACAATTTTTGTAAAGAGTAAGGTTTTCTCTTCCTAATTTACATTGATTCAAATAAATTCATTGAATATGGAAAGAATTACGAAGTTTCGAAAAATTTTGGTGCAAGGCTCATGCCCCAACCTAATTTTGGTATCACCGAAATAGGAAAATTCTTTTCTTTGCATCAAATTTATTTTGAGATGAACTGTCACTCACCTCCTAAGTCACTGGCATGAGCAAAATAAGCGACAATCAAGTTCACGAATATAATCATAAAATTGTGAGTGGTGACCGGTAGTGAGCAGCGAAGAATCCGATGACATGTACATGGTGGTAGTGAGTATTTGCTCGAGCGTGCACTCGTTCAATCAACAAACACTCACGGTATCATCGAGAATCTCTATCAAATAAGGCCGCTTTCGGAGATCAATGAGGGAATGAGCCGAGCACAGAACATCGTCGGCAAATAGTGGCCAATAGCTGGGAACGATTTTGAATAGCCAGGAATTTTACTTCCTGGTCCAAACTGAACTTTAAAGATTCTCACCCGCCCCTCTCCCTTCCTTCGCACCAAACTAACGAACTCGAGTTTGGCTGCAAAAAGAAGGATTGTTTGTGAACTGTCCGCGCGACAATTGTTGTTCTTTGTCAACTTTTACTTTAATTACACAAGTACAGGACGCACGTGTTTTTTTTTCTAAATTCGACCAGCCTGAGCAAATAAAAGTATTTTGCGGCCAAACCTTTACAGCGCTGTGTATTGCCTGCCTGGGAATATCGTGCTGGTAATTTTCAATTTCCGAAACACAACGAGACGGCTCAGCGGCCCGCTAAAATCGAAAAAAGTGCGCCTTGTACTTATGAAATTAGGGTACTCTTTTGGCTTCTCTTTGAACATGAACTCATATACGTTGCTATTCTTTATGTCTGCTAAAGTATTCTTGTGAACTACTGACCCAGGAAAGCCGCACATCCGGTATAGTTCTATTGCCCGATCACTTTGTTCGTAAACCCATTCATCTAAAGGCCACATGCATCAAAGGCACCGTCCCAGATTTTCGACTTCCACGTTTTCGTCGTTCCAGGGCCTTTTCATGTTCCTGATTACGAATATGAATTCGGTATGCTCGAAAACCCCGACAATCCCCGTTTCGGAGAACCCACAGGCCGGCTTTCCGGAACGGTGATTGGATGGGCGCGCACAAATGGGCGGGCATAGATGGGGGAGGGCGAGCATGGATGGAGTCCTCGTGCATCCTCGCTATTCCGGAGCGATTTTCTCGCTTCCGAAGCTGCGTTTTGCGCCGCGACTTGGGCAGTGGATTGATAGAGGGCCCTATCACTATGTGCTGCCAAAAGCTCAACATCCTCAACTTAAGGTGGACGGTGCCTTCAACATCTTCCCGGGGAGGGGCCGCACCTTACAAAGAAAGCTTTATAGCCTGAAGCTCCCAACTTCTGCATTCCACGCTGTCTACTCATCCGTAAGTATTCCTACATCATCCTTCACTATGAACATATTGAACAGAAGCGAGAAGCTGTGCAAGCCGCATTTTCTAGCATTTTGCATGATCCCCTGATGATCCCTGGCGGCCGACCGTCTGTTCTTCAAAGTCATTTTTCTTTCCTCGAAGGTTAGAGAATATTAGGTCGTTCCATAAGTTCGGTTTTCATAAACCAACAAAATCATCAATTTTTCAAAAATCAGCCAATAGTACATTATTCAACGTAGCGCACGACCTTTTGATACATTCCTGTTCGCTTTTCAAACTCAATTTTCCTTTTCCAAACGGCAACGCGCTGGGTCCCAAGAAAGTCATCTAACCAGCGCTCAAATTGCTCAATGAAATTGAAGCATGCACTATTTATAAAGTTTACGAGAAAGCAGAACAAATGATAATTCAATAGAGCGCGGTTAAGGAGTATTTTGGGCACTAAAGTACCTCCTAGTCATTTCTTGCAGGACAGTTTTGACGACGTTTGCCGTATGGGTCATGTTTCCTCATGCAGAAAACTCACTGAATCTGTCTTTTTGGCTTCTTCTGCGGTATGCTCGTTAAGACGTTGCAGATGGCTTGTATAGTAGTATGGACGACCGTCTTCTTCCTGTTCAGCAATTTTTAGTGCAGGACGTCCTGCCCATCCCCCGAAAAGTCTTGTTCACGGACACTCTGCCCGGGCCTTCGTTTTTTGCAGTAATCCAAACATTTTTCTTCTAATAGTGATTGGCAAACGCCACGTTCCTTAATCAGCAAGAATCTGTGCAAAAACGCTTTATTTCATAAGGACAACATGCGCGAATGCCGAAATTCCTCCATTTTGCTTTTCAAGACTTCCATACTTGGAAGCCAACAAATCCGAGTAGATCAGCTTTCCACTCGAATTAGTAGATACCCCTTTCCGGAAAACTAAGCCTGTACTAGTTTCCCAATTCTTTGGGTATCCCTTATCCGGACTCTTTTCAAAATTATCATAAAATATGTACTTCAATCTAAAAATTTTCTTTGAGATTCTAAATGAACTAATTCTCCGCGCTTCCTAGGTGTTAGAAAATAGCGTTGCTTTACTGATTTATAGAGCACACCGAGATAGTTTGACAAGCTTATTACAAGAACTATGCCCACTCAGCATGTTATATACGCTTGTAAGCTTAGCTAGTTATTCGGCAAGAAGTCAGAATTTTTGTATCTGCGGCCTTTCATAGCTATGATATTCTTTTACGAGGAAAGCTACCTGACTTAGCTCGGCCTTTTGGCGAGGGACATATATGTTCTGGATCGGCTTCAAACGTTGATTCCAAAAATGCTATTCCTAGCTGCCGCGCACCATTCCAAAGCAAGTCATGGGCTTTTTCCTGCGAAAATTAGCATACTACTGGACATGGGAATACTGCCTGTAGATAAAAATCTGTAAGAAAAGGGTGCTGAGATATTGGAATAACACAAGTCAGTTCTATTCTCAGTAAAAAAAGCTTAACGAAAGTGAATTAGCACTTAGATGATGATGCCGTGATCCGTGATACCAACAGGAGTCGAATATGCCATCTTGCGCAAGAAAAAGTCCATAACTCGCTTCGAAATGGTGCTCGGCAGCTAGAAACAGCATATTTGGAATCAGCGTCTGAAGCTGAATCAGAATATCTGAAAAAGCCGAACTAAGTTAGGCAGTTCCCTTGTCAGTATTATAACTCATTTGTTCTTATTAGAAACAGGCTTACTACTATTGCCGCTGGAGATCACCTAGGAATCGGTCAAAAAGCTGAATATCCTGGCTTGTAGAATAATGCGCTTCATAGTAAAGGTAATAGAGGTGCGTGAAGTTAGTGTGCCAGATTTCCGGAGTTTCGAAACATTAAGCTGTGCCCCTTTCCCAGGTAAACTGCAGGCATGCTGCCGAGGAGGTACATTGTAACTTTGCCTTCAAGGTTTTGACGAAGGCGGTACCGAAGCGTTGTCTCAAAAACATAAACAATCTTGAACGATTTTCTAAAGTACACAGGTAACAAGCAGTGACAATCAAAGACATCATGGAAAATGCATAACATATGCGTAATGCCGCGATGATTCCATTTAACTGCTCTGCAAAACTTTCTAAAAACATTGCAATTTTCATTTTCTTCTTCTTAGATTGATGTCATTGCCTCGTGAGTTGCTCTCTCCTAACAGGGCCCGGCACGAAGTTGTCAAAAGGGATTTTCGAAAAATTCTCTCTTGACCCAAAAACTGTTTTCGGTGATTGCGCAGCGAACACTTTAACCAAGGAACAAGTTTTATCGAAACAAGAAACAAAAACAATGCATTCATAACAAAGAAAAAAGAAATGAGATCACATTGGAGATCTCTGGAGTGATATGAATGACAGGTAATTTGCAACGGCAGCTGGGGTGGGGGGGGGGGGGGAGCGCGGGGGGAGGAGAGGGGGGATTCGTACAATTCATATGCCCACAATTTCCCACCTATCACCTTCAAGTACTCAAGTTCCACACATACTCCTCACATTTCCGCCTTCTCACTCACTCTTAAGTACTCTACTAATCCTACAAACATACCCCTAACACTCCCAATCATCCTAAGCCCCTCACAGTACCTCTCACATTCACCTTCATCTTCAAATACTCCACTACACCCACTTTTGAATTTTACTCCTCCACTCACTCACTTTTCCCCTCAGATGGACCTCATTGAGGCCACCCGAGTGGCGCGCACACCCACGAAGTAACGGCGAGAAAGCTCGCAGTCACTCTCCCACTCGGGGTCCTCAGTGAGGTCCCCCCTCCCCCTGCGAACCCCCCTTCCCCAATCGCTCCCCCTGCATTTCTGCGAGGCTTTTACATGGGTACATACATCCTTTAGAAATGCAAGGCTCCGCAAAACAGAATTTCCAAAATGTTCACGAGCTCATGCACTATCACGTTCATCACGAAATCGGCTAGTCCGACCGTGGACCAGTCGATCCACGGCCGGATCTCACTGGTCCAAGGTCGGACTAGCCGATTTCGTCATGGACGCTTTTGCTTGCGGTTCCTATAGTCTCTGTCTACAGATTGTCCAAGGGCTGCTGTGGCAAGCAAAAAGATGAACAATGCTGAAAAAGCAAGATTGAAAAAGAAAAGAATCGGCAACAAGCTTACCTGATATCATCTATCTAGGGGAAACAACCAGCCCGTTGGAATGGATGCGAGAATGCGTACTACGTGCAGATATGTGATTTAATCCATCCCGCGTAGCAGGATTTGCTTTGTATGGTTCTACACTCATTAGATTAGACAGATTGAACTCTTGGAGCACGTCGGTAATAACCTAAACAAAGATAAACAGCAGTAACCGGATAGGAGTTTAATGTCGTTTGAGTTGTCACAATTGTTGTTGCGATCCTCATCAGTAGGAGCAGCCTAGAAAACGAAGTTGAAGCCTTAGGACATAAACATAAGCAAGCGAAATGCACATGGGGCAGCGAATGCAACATGCAGGATTTAAAAAATGCGCACACTCAACTGCATTGCACATTCAAGGTACCCTAATTTCACGCGTACAAGGAGCGGGGGATTTTTTTCCAAAATAGACCAGCCCAAATACGCCAAAGAACTTCGCAACCAAGTGACCCTATGTCTTGCTGTACATTGCTTGAAAGAATCGTACGGCATAAGGATCGCTTTCCGAAGTAATTTGTAACGGCTGAGGGGCTTAGTCGAAAAATCGAAAAAGGTGCGCCTTGTACGCGTGAAATTAGGGTAATCATAATGAATAAAGCTTCGCAAACTACAGCGCATAACCA